TACTGTAATTATTCCATTACCTTCCCTTGTATATATATATATATCTTGTGTCAGTGAAAATTTTAAACATGCTTACTCTATGTGTACATTATTATCATATTGATGACGCCTGTCAGCTGGAGTCCCTCATGTGCATAAAGTGAGAATATATTATCATAAGACTCATTTTATTGTTATATGAGGGAAATGACTTCAAGTTTTATTTATTTTCCCAAGTATCTGTGAGCCATCCAACGCATACTTGGGTTTTTTTGTTAATGCGAAGTCAATATCTCTATATTTCTTGATGTGTTCCATTGAATCACTAGTTATCAGATTTTTCCCACAAACTAAAGACAAAATGACAGCAACCATGTAATTTAACCGTAAATCATGTATAATGTGTAACTTAAATAATACTTATCCATGCCTATACAACTTGTGTGTCTTACATTTGTAGGAATAAATATGTACCTTATTATATTATCATTACTAACTATACTTACTAATCGTATGTGTAATTTATCGAATTGATGATGCCTGCAAACTGGCGTCCCTCATGTACAAAAATGAGAATATATTATTATTAATTCACGTGATTCCCTTATATGCCCGGTAAAATGCAGTTACTGTCTCTTTCAGCATTCCACATAACTCAGCCTCACCTAACGAACATGCTAACCACAAGTTCAGGCAAATCTCACTGTTTCATAGTTGATAATGAATGTACTGAGTTTTTAATTTCGAAGATTCAGTGACTGTTTGTAAGCATGCCCAAACAAACTCTACTACTAGTTCAATCACAGGCATTACTGGTTATAAGCTACCTTTTATTGGTACTACCAAAATTACTTTGAGGTCATAAATTGGTAGTTTCGGAAACATTCCCTTCCTTAATAGTGGGCATGGCCCATTTTCACTGGGATTAAATGTCACTATATTGTTGGATGTCCAAATATCTCATCGCACAGGGTCATTCGAAGAGATTTTGCCCAGCAAATCAGCTAAACGATGTTTAAAATATGTGGATGAAAAATCTAATACATCAGGTTCAAACCCGTCATCATTAACTTGTCGTAAAACCTTCAGTACGAACTCTAACAAGAATGAATATACTTTTAGGCCAGTGGTAGAGGTTAAACATTTAAAATCCTAAATCCAGTCCTTGCGTAGTTCAGTAGTTCAGTTACACATTCAAGTGCATCATTTGCTTGCTGTTGAATAAACATATCAGTCAAACAGTAGTCGAGCTCAACAAATATCTGAAAATGTTCAGATCAGGTTAAGCCAAATAATTCGATGCCTTCGAGAGGATCGTTCAAGTTTACCAGCAGCTGAGAAAAATCTTGTTGAAGAGCGTAAAAGCCGACTTCTCCAGGGAAAAAACTTTAAATGGCAAAACAACAGACAAGTGAGAGAAGAAATTCAAGAAATTGTCTCTAAATGAGCTGTTACTAATAAAGCGACACATTCTTAAGCTTAAGTGACTGAAATGCCAGTAGCAATATATGTTTCTTACAACGCCGTCAGCGATAGTTTGCAAAAACAATAAATTATGCTGAGAGCGTTTAAGTGAATTTGAATTGGAAAGTTTAACGAAGACACCAGCTGCTGAAGTTATTCAACTTTCATCATTAAATGCAGAACGTTCCTACTATGGATTAAATGACTCATCTGAGAAGTCACCTCAGGAGAAAAGTAAAAATATACGAATGAAACATGCATTTGTGTTAACGGCTTAACTGAGCACATTTCGTCAAAAACAGGATCAAGTGAAAATATATGGAGTAGGTAGTTCTGACTATAACTACAATGATTACACTATTAATCCCAATTTCGTAAATAATTCAGAAATGGATATAAAACATTTCGATGAAATACTAGCACAAAATCAGTTGAAGTTTCTATTAGACTTTCCAGCAAGCCAAAAGTCCGTTATAGACAAGCCAGAAGATAATTGACAAGTGGCAGACGTGGTCGTATTGTTTAAATACTGGCAAATTCCTGACTCCTAACCTATCTGTTGTTTCGTGATCCCCTAAAATTCACTCACTGAAAATTACACTTATCAAATATGCATCATATACTTCAACCGAAGCATTTTCTTAGAAACAAGATATGATACCGTCAACAAGGGTTGAAGAGAAACTGATGCTGATGCACTCCTATTGATATTACAAGAATCATGGGACTCAGTCAGTTCACGCAAGCCTTGTTCATGCCTGAAACTTAAATTTCCAGGTTGCTATTCAGAGGGATTCATTTTAGGACTACTCAACTTCTGCTACTGTTAACCTTAGTTAAGGGACTTTTCATACAAGAACAATCTAAAGCAGAAACAAATGTAGTAGAAATTATCAAACCATCAGCATATTGAATAAAATTTAATTTGATAGAATTAGGTAAGTCGTGAGAAAAATAAGGGAGAGAAGTTTACAAAGTACAGTACCATGCGGTACACCAGCCTTGTTTAAGGAAATCAAATGAATGCTTATCACTGAAAACAGTGTGCTGCTTCCTACGTCAAAAATAGGAGCAGAACTACTTTGTTATTTAGCAATTAGTGTATGCTGAGCCCAGCTTGCTTAGTAAAAGTGCCCCGGTAATAGGATCGGAAGCGGCGGAACGAACAAACTTTGCACACTCATCGAGACTGGAAACAGTATTACGATGTACTGCAATGGCAGCAACCGAAGTGATTAAACTGCATTCATAAGCAACTCGCTTGCGGTCACTGAAAGATTTCCAAGAGAATTCAAGGACAAATAGGAGAAGTTTTTCCACATTTCTCTAGAACGAAGACGTTGTGCCGACTGGCCCGAACTTTAAATGTGATTCACAAGATAATTTAGATACGAGTAAAATTCAAGCACAAGATTTATACGAATGTGTCAGGATTGGGTTAAAGAAAGAAACAAAATGTCTGCACACCTTTGAAGCAAAATGCCTGGCACCTTATAGCACCTAGGCTGCGTAATCGATCTGAGACACATGAATACATCCCTTCCATCAAAACCTGACGAGTAATAATTTACGTGATTAATGCGATCAGGCGCAAACATATTAGCCTGCTGCCTTAGAAAAGATGGATTAACGGCGTTTACATCAGAACAAGCTCCAAAAGAATCCCCATATTTTCATATGCACACAAATCTGAGTTCTTATCAGTCACAAGAATAAGCCTACAAATTACTGCCGAACTATAAAGATTAGCAAGGTGGGAGATATACTGTGAGATAGCCTTGTCTCAAATGAACCACTTTGAAAACTTAAACAGTTTAACTAACTTCAAATGTACCGTCCAAATTCTACCTCTGCAACTACAGTGACAATTAGCCGAACCTGCAAGTAATATTTTAAAAGGTACATGGCCGAAGTTCCGCCATCTCACAGAGTCCATACAACAAAAGCTGTCGCTAGACACAAGCAGTTATACACGAATAGCTCATGGAAGCAGAAGGAATGATAACGTAGATGTTAATCGGAATTCTAGGGTGACACTATGGAGTCCTAAAGATGGTTCCTTTTATAATACTATAGCACAATCACGTTTTCACGTTTGCGATGTGCTAACATTGCACACGGTCAAAGACAAACAACGTTGTATTAATATGCACAAGACTTGAAAAGCCGCATTGTTAACGAAATCAAATTTCGAAAAGCGGGAAACGAACGAAAAATATGTAACCGCGTAAAGTATATATAACATACGAAAAGCGATGTTCAGTAGTACAACGGCAAGTATTCCACATAATCATATAATGTGTACGTGAATTGGTTTTATAAACTTACAATTAGAGTTAATATCGGGGAGTTACAACACCATTAAACCGCGTTGACGCCGTAACTGCGAAAATTTATAAATAATGTACCATGTACTCCACATATCATCGAATATCTTCCTGCTAACATTTCCCGTTTGTGAGTAAAAAGGTAATATAGCGTAAGTTATATATCACCTTCCAGAAACATAACCACCAAGTTACTACTTTCATTGTTGTAGGATGCATCCGATATGAACACAAACTGTCTCAAGAAGAAAACAGTCATGTGGAAAAGAGGACATCACTGATTAATGATAGGATTTGTCAAGAAACTATCACTGACTAGCATATGCATAGCTGGTGAGAAAAAACTGCCCCGAAATGCATCATATTGCATGGTAGATGAGGAAAAACCAGGATGTTTTAGGCTGGTGTTGATTTGTTTCTTAATTATCCTTTGATTCGTTTCTTTTTGTTTAACTTTGTGCTGCTTTCTGCAAGTAAGCAGCATGATTTTATACTTTCCTTACCGTGTCCTTACTCAGTAACTATAACTATTGATTTCCACTGAAGTTTGTCTAGATTAATGTATCCGAAATTCTTTTTGATATGCGGTAGTTTTCTTCACATGGTTTAACGCTATTTGCTGTGCATACTGTCGTAATCTTGCACTCTCTACTAGACATTGTTTATTAGAATCTTCTTCGTCCCCAATTGTACTTTCGCGCGTTATTTGTAATTGGGTCGCAGTGACTACTTTTGAGGTTATTCGGCCTAGATATCAGATAACGTGAGGTTTTTATGTGTCATTTGCTTTTTGGAGGGAAGTGGTTGAGCTTTTGACAACGATCAGTCTAGGTACGTGACGATTTGCGGTTTGCACTCACAATTGTGAGTTCTTTTCGTTTTGAGTTACGGTTCCATCGACCTGAATATTTTACTCTTTTTTGTATGTAATGTATAATATCTTATGTTTTTTAATTCAAGGTGTTACACAAACGTTTAAGTTAAATAACATTTCGAATGTTATTAACTTAACAAATCCTATTTCACATTCCTTGCAAGAAACTTATAACCTAATTCTCTTTTCTTTCCCCAGCTCAGGTGTTCGAAAATTGTGAAGCGTACGAAGAAGCACGTCATGCCACGTTCTCAAATCGTGTCTCACCAGGGTTCGAATGCAAGTGTAAGCTTTACTGCTTCCTGAAATGTCGTTTAGTCGACGGAGTATTCTGCCACTTTATAATATTTTTGGGATTGATTTTATAGTGGTTTTATTACTGTAATGTATTCATCACACATTGAAAGTACTTAATGGTACCCACTATCATGATTTTAGAAACTTATTGTTCGTTTTGGTAAATATTGGTGGGAAAATTTACTGGTGTACATAGTGGCTACCTATCAATTGGCGGCTTCTGCATGTTACTTTGACAATTAAGACGCAGATTCAACGCTTTGAACGGCAAATGAGATATTAGTCATAATCCAATCCATTTTTTCTCCCACTCACTGAAATGGGACTGAATAAATATCAAGGTGATTTGATTATGAGCAAATACTGTATAACTGTGTTTCATCAAATAAAATTATTCTTTAGTGACATTATTCCTTACCACCTAATACTTTATACCTATATCAGTGGAAATTAGGGATACAGCGGAGCAGAACGACTATCCGTGACAAACGATTAAGTAATATGGAGGCGTATGCAACTGATATACATATTTCACGTGTATACTGTGAACGAGGTTCAAGTTGAGTAGTGACTACCGTCCATGAACTCTTACGTGGCTGCGAGTGCGATTATATTTTTGGGCACCACCTCGGGAAGATGTGACATCCCGAGCAACAGCGTTATATGGGGTTTTCAGGTCAGAAATATGCGAAGTGTTAGACGCCGGCAGGTATGCTTGTTACAGGATTTGTCGGAAGACGGAAATAGGATATATAATAAGATAAGTTATCTGCTATCTTGATAACCAGTCTTTACTTCAAGGCTAGACGACATAAGTCAACAAGAGAACATTTCATGGAATAACTGAATGAAAGGCAGTTGAATCTATATTTTCGATAACTGGAAGCTACTTGATCTGTTGTCATTTTTTAGTGTACACTATATAAATTCTTTAAAAAACGGTTTGCCGGATGTATGCAGCTTCCTCCTATCACCTAACACGATAGGGACTGACCGTTTGTTAACAACCTATGTGTGTGCTAGTATCGCAGAATACTGTCAATAAATGTTTTTACCATGTGTAACATATGTAGAGTACTAATCCCCTTCAAATATTTCCTCAGAATCACTTCATTTACTTAGTGAGAATTTTTTGAGTTTGCTAGTATCGTTATATATACATATATATGCTTTGTTTTTAAATTTCAGTATTCGAAAAGAGAAATCAACCCAGGAAAGCATTCTATGACGAGACGTTCGCAAACTCTATCAACCGAGAGTTTACAAGGAGTAGTAAGTCCTACTGCTCGCTGAAATGTCATTTAGTCTATGGAGTATTGTGTTGCCTAATAATATATTTGGATTTAGCGGTGTATCGGTTTTATTACTATTATGAATTTATCACTCAATGACAGTAGTTAAGCGTATTTGCCGTCTTGTGGCTATTAAAGCTTATTAATTGAGGTTTTGTCATAATCAAATGGGAACTTTAATGTAATTGAATCATTTCTGATCTCTTAAAATTGTTAGTAGTTGTTTGTTTTGTATCATCTTTCCTTTTAATGTTATCGTGCTGTTTATGGTGTAAGACTCCTTACGAATGGCAGTTTGGACTGAGCTGTTGATTCCGGTTGTGTTGTGGACGTCAGTTAACCAGAACAAGTAACTGATGTAGACTGAAAGTCCATTAGTGATATATGTACCTAGTTATCCTGGGTTCCTTGAAATGTTGCTTCAACTTGCAAAACTAACTGAATAGTCTATGGCTCTTGAGTGGTCGAAACAAGTGTGAAGTGTGTTGGTAAAGCTTCGTAATTTGACCTTGTGGTTTGCAATAAACTTGAATGATAACAGACCATGATTTTGTACTGTCAAGCAACATTAGCAATAGCACACACCTCGGTGTTGTATATGCATTGTGACATCGTTAAGTACAAGCTAAACGAAGAATCACATATTCCTAAGATGATGTCAGCAATTTCTGTCTCTTGATTGAAATGTTTAACGCGAATAATCTACAGTACTGAAGAACTAAAACGTATATGCCCATTAGTACGTATGCTCTAACTTCTACTTAAACTGCAGATGGATATTAGAGTGAACAAGTTTTTCCCCCACTTTCTCATGATATATTTTCAATTGGAAATTGACAACCCGATGTAGACGAGTTGACGTTGATTCTAATTTATTTGTCTTTTAACTGGATCGTTCAAGATTCACTTCAAAACTACAAATAACTTCAATCGTTTTATATTTATCTACATTGGAAACCCGATTAAAGTATGGATGTAGAAACGAAAGTTAAGCTACGACCTTTGAGACTGAGACCACATGATGAATTACCTCAGTGTATTATTTGACCTCCAGGCCTCACATTATGCCTCTGATAATTTCCTGGAGGAATAATGGCGCCTCACAAAAGAAAATTAAGAACAAGTCTGCTTCGTTTATTGGACTGCATGTTGAAAGCTCGCAGTTACTGACATGTTAAAGGCTTATCTAATGGAGATACTTGTTTATCGTCGGTGTGGATATACATGCTGTTAAATCTTAACATTGTAGGTGGGGATATTCACTAACTTGCATACTTGATTGTCTTTTCAACCTTATGTGACCCTCACTGATTTCAGTACACATCTTAATAAAAAAAATAAAGCGTTTTCTCAATCATATAAAGTGAATACAGTTCAAATTTAACGATTGCCAATATGTATATTAATTAAATCACTTAAACATCTCTCATAAGAAAAAAAAAGTTAATATGTAACATTTTTTTCCTTCCATCTAGACTAACTCAAACATTGATGATGAAAGTATCAATCAAAACTCAAGGAAAAGAAACTTCCAGCTTATCAAATCAAAATCTTTTGTTCCGATTATTCATGATCGACCTCCAATAGTCGCTGTTACCCCTAAACTTGCTACAGCAACTCGTGCAGTTTTACGGGCAAAGTATGACAATGACGCCAACCGGAGGAGATGCGTTTTAGAACAAAAATTAGACGAAATTAAACAGCGTAAGATGGAAGAAGAAGCTGAAGAAATAAAAAGACTTCGTAAGGAGACTGTACACAAGCCGGAACCCATCAGGCGATACAAACCAATCAGAATTATTTACAACAGTACGTGATTCCCTCTATATGTTCACTCCGAATACAACCCCTTATGTGTATTTTCGATTCAAACAGCTTTACATCGAACTTCAGGAACTCACCGAGCACCTTTAGTGCGACTAAATGGTCGGGAGAGTTATCAGATTTAAGAGTGTTAAATATACCCTATCGAGATTCAGTCGGTTCGAACGAAGAATGTCCTTTTCATTAAATTCTCTCAAGGTCTGTAGAATTATAAAACGTGTTATCCTTATGATAACAGATATGTACACGAGGAGTTAGTTAGTTAGACCGTCTTTCAGTTTCGGGGTGGATGTTGGAAGGCTGCTGAAGGATTAGAAATTTCTTTTTGTCCCTCTGATTAGGCGTCAGGATAGAGTATCTCCCGGCCAAATTAAACTTTAAGCACCACTGACTACCAACAGGGTGCGAGCGCAACAATGACCTTGAAACACTCACTGAGCAAGCTAGTGAAACCTGGCAAATTATGTTGTCATCACCAATAAAACATGCTCATCGAAGTGTTACGCTATTAAATGGGAAGATTAAGTCAAGGACAAGCTAGGGTCAGGTGAGCCTAATAAAGGCAACCCTAGGGTTGGTTCGATTTAGATTAGTTAGTTCAGGGATATTTTCACGTTAGGGTCAGGTTCAGGAAAGATTAGGGTTAAAAGACTTAACTAATTGCATGCATAGAATATGGTTAAATTACTCCGGTGATACAAGAATAGTACTTGTGCACTATGGTAGAGTTTAATTCCATTGTGGGTAAAATTTAATTTGGATAAAGTCTCAATGTTGTACAGTAATATTTACTGATGACGTTTCGAGCACAATTTATCGCTCGGAAACATTACTGTATTACACTATGAGACTTTATCAAAATAAATTTTACCCACAATGGAATTATACTCTCTTGATACTCCAACCTAAAACTGAGTTATTTTTATCACAAGGTGTCCTCTGTAACGCTATTCTACAATTTTTATGCATTATTTCATAAATATATGTATTCCATACACAAAAATGCCTCCTTCACGTGATTGGTGCGTTCGGGGTCATTTGCTGATTGGTAGTTAGTGGTGCTTAAAGTTTAAGTTTGCCTATCTCCCCAGTATTGTAGACGCGGATGTAATCGCCGTTTCTTCCGCAGTGACTGGCGGAAGTCACTTTGGCTTTTGTAAACCTCGAACATGCATTTTCGCTTAAAACATCCCGCATGCCATGGAGTTCTCTCTTTACACCGTCTTTGTAGGGAATTTACCTTGCAATAAACGCTAAGCACCTGCACGAACTATGCTTATATTTCAGTTATACAAAGTTAAGAAAGTGCACATAATGATCTCTATTTTTCTAAATATGGTTATCTAGATGGATTCATCTTTTCTCGTTAGCGAAGCGTCGAAAAAGTAGTAAGAGCCTCTGTGTTCTCTTTCGCAGGTTAAATTGATCGCTTGGTTACTACTATTAAAGTGGCTGAAGATCAAATCATCATCGTAGATTTCAAAGTCGTAATCAATGTCTTATCTTCGCTATTCCATCCTTCAATGAGTCAATATTTAGTCTCACTAGAAATGTACCCGCAAACATAGGACCCAGTGGAGATCCTATATCGACTCCATAAACCTAATGGTACATTCCATTATGAAACAGGAACCGAGCATTTGCTGTACATCTAAACAATGTAACTTCCTGTCTATCACCAGTTCGTAGGATGAAACACCAAGCAATGCTATATATGTTTTTCGGTTGTGAATAGGTTTTAATTCATAAATAAACTGAATGGCAGCTTTTGCACTGTACTTCAGATAATCATGCATACTTCTAGAATTGTAGGGAAAAAAACCCAACTATTGTACGCAGAAAGAAATGGCAATTAACCTGAGTTTAGCCTATTAATATTCATTTCACTTATACATGTATGGCTTTCATTTCTTCATTATATAAAAATCCTAAGCGATTCACCAGAATGCAGCTTTCTTTCTTCACCGAACACACCTCTGACCTGCAATCAGGGTAGGCAAGCTTTTTCGGCCTAAAGGCCCAACAAGTTCAACCAGGAAAATATAATTTACCAAATGACTAAAAGGTCACTTACATAGGTCTGAATGACATAATAGGGTCAACTGGGTTATCGGAGGTTGACCACCGAATCAACATCAAACACGCAGAGTCAACTTGATGAGACATCTATCCCGAACACGACTAGTTGCAATAAGCAGATGGTAGTAAGGCGATAAAATACAGCTAAGGAAGTCATGTGAATACATTAGTATGATTATGAGCAACAGATTGTGCTTCAGACGTCAACATCCAGCTCTTTATACACTGCGTTATGTCAAGCTATTACACTTATCTACTACAGTGCCCATATTTCATTTTGACACTAGTTATCACCTGCAGTTATCAGTAGTGAAGTGATTCTTCTCAACTGAGTGCCGGGAACACGAACCTCAGAAGTAATGACAGTCACTAACCAACAACAAGGGTCGGTTTGTCAGAAGAATATTGCATCAGGTCACCTCACCAAATTGTACCCAATCTAGTGTTGTGGCAGACTCAGTTGCATACCACTTGCTTGCTTCACAGCCGATAAGAATCCATGATTTAGTAGAAAAAGGAAGACTAAAACAATATCAAATATCTATAATTAGTCGGTTAGAGTAAAAAAACAACGCTCTTGTTCCAACTCCAACCCCCCTCTCCTCGTTATAAAAAGGTTAATACAGAACGATAAAAGAATTTTATATTAAAGAAACCTCTGTATAGTATACAAAAATGGCGAGAGTGAAAAAAAAGAAAAACAAAACAATCAAATATCATTTTAAATTAGTACAACAAAAGTGAATGCCTACTGTACAGAAGATGTAGCTGGCTACTATATAAAAAAAACAGACATAGATGTATACGACGTTAAAATCACTTCATTGCGTGTATCACAAAAACAGGAGTGTTTGCTTATTCACCTTTTTCTTTATCATCTTTATAATACAAGAAAATAAAGCTAAACAGTATTAGGCCCACCATCATTGATATAGCGCTGGTGTAATATGGATATGCAGCTACGATGAATCTCTCGTATTGAGTGTGAGTGAACGGACGAACAGGAACCTGTGAGGAAAAGAAAAAGAATATTCGTGAACGCGGTGTCACATTTCTTTACAGAAAAAAAAAAACAAATCTATATGTAATCCAAGAACTTACCTGTATAACACTGAAAAGATGTGTGTAACCGATGCGATAGTAGTCGACCACAAATTTGAACACTCCATACACATCGGGTAACTTCATAACAAGTTTGTATTCACCATCTGAAAAAGTAATACGCAGTATGTACATGTATACATATATAAGATTAATATAGTGGAGGCACTTTGTTAGTTGACTTGACAGTGAAAACAGATAATGGTCATCACCACATTTCCTTCGTCTTCATCTTTACCCAGCTGAATAATTCTCAACTATGCAGAGAAAACCCCGTGATGGCTGTTTTTCTGAAGTCTTCACCAACCAATGGAGTGGTTTTAAAAGATTCAGCAACCACACCCCAGACTATACGACTTTAAGCCAACTAAGTAGTTGCAATCTGTAAGATCTGAAGTCCAAATACCCACATTCATTGATTCTTTTCAAATAATAGCAAGCATAACTCTATAAACTAATAGCTTCAGCAGGGGATCGCGCAATACTATCGCATCAACAACTGACTAAGGGCCTGGAAACAGCAAGTGAATCTTGTGACAACTTGGAGCTGTTAACACCAAGGAAACTAATGTCAGTGGTACATTATGTCAGGTGGACAGTACATAGACTAGATGTCTTTAAATGTATTCTTGACGGAAGACATTGAAAAGAATTTCAGATGACTTAGTGATACATCATTTCCAACTTGGTAGCACTGTGCTCTATAACCGGCTGATACTAATATAAGGAAGTCTAAAAGGTACTTTAAATATAAGACGACAGTGCCATGGAGGATATTTTCAGTTTCTTCTAAAGAACAACGAAATAACCACGCTGTTCAAAAGAATGTGCTAGACTGGGTGTCTCATCTGTAGAATCGGGTTGTTTTATTCACTCTTATAAGGGCGAATACAACTTACGTAACCATTCTGGTAACATACTGCTAGCAGTGGCAAATCAAGTTATGTAATAATGATCACGTTGTTTACACCCAACCAGTTACATTCACACATTTCCGAGCTGAGCATGTCCGATAATTGTGTTCAATTGTCCTTATCTACATAAGATAACTTGTATCTAATTAGACAATGTACATAATTTATATATCACGCGAAATTGACTAGGGTACGTTGGAGATCTTAATTTATTTTTAGCTTACTCTACAAACAAGTGGGCTGAAATTTATAGAAAAAATCTAAAATCATTAGTAGCGACTACAGTGTAAGCAATAATTGCATGCAAACACAAATATTGAAGTGCGTGCTATAAGCATACTAGTTACATATCATACCTTTATGTTGCATTTTCTTCCTAATAAATGGATCAATTCGCACAAACTCCAACTGAACGTCATCTGCGTTAAAAGGAATCCAATTTCCATTATCATCCTTTGTTTCTATTTTGATAGTGTAAACAACTTGGTCCATTATTGTATACTGACTAGGTGGATCAGTTTCACCCAAGCGGTGATGTTTAACATAGGTATATCGTAACTGACCTCGCTCACCCAGGACCCATCGCAGTAGGCCATCGGTAAGCTTTTCGTTTCCTGAAACAACAACCCTATGACAAAGAAGCATCCACAAAAATGGAAGAACTGTAAGTAACATAAAGGTTTGAAACCAATGCATAAATGAAAGAAGATGATATAATGAAAATGTGGAATAATGCACTTAAAAGTCGATTGGAATTAGGTAAAAATTTACAAGTCTAGTTTTCACTCCGGCTTGCAATAGTTGACAGTAGACGCTATAATCAAGGTAATTTAAGTCCGAAACCATTCTATTTTTGACCACCTTAATTTTTAAACACTAGATCATAGGCTATCAGATATGGCTCTTGATAATTTCGAAAATATTGACGGCTTTTGATCACATGTGTCGTTCAATTCCTCACGATAGGCGAAGCAAAGTGATCGGAAAACACGAACTCAGGTTTAAGGTATGGAGAAGTTCGCGTGTAGCATGTTGGGCTCTATTGATTAATAGCTTGGTCCCTGTCTTCCTTGTAGAACAATGCTAGCTGAAAGTGGTTTAAACAAAAGTCTCTGATTGGTAGTTTGAGTCATATATACGAGTGTAGGGTGACCAGTTGGGGTCTTTAGGATGTTAATAATAAATGGTTGGAACACGTTGATGTGGCTCGAAAACG